ACTGGACATATGGCTCATATTTATCTTCAGATCGACTGTTGCAAATTACAACACTTATATTTTTTTTGTAAAACCGCGTTTTCAGTTAATTTCATAAATCTATGTTTTGACCAGAAAACATCAAATTGTGTAGATATTTCAAAATTTTTGATAAAAAAAAAAAAACAAAACAAACACTAAAATAATATTTTATATATAATCTATTTCTGAAATCAACTGAAAACACGATTTTTTTTAAGAAACTCAACAAACATTACACATCTTGATAGATCCGTACTATAATCGCCCTATTGAACCATTTTATTATGATTCATTGAAGTATGTTAGCAAAATAAGGACGATAACTTAAAATTAAAACAAAAAAATATCAAATCGACTTATGAAATTAACTGAAAACACGGTTTTACAAAAAATAAAAGATCATAAATTCTTAACAAAAGATTACAGGTCTTAATAGATCCGTACTATAATCGCCCGATTGAACCATTTTCTTATGGTTCATTGAAACATTTTAGCCAAATATGGACGACAACCTTAAATCAAAACAAAAAAATTTCAGATTTTGATAGATATCTGCTATTTAATCGGCCGATTTGCACTTTTTTACTATGATTTAGTAAAACGAGATTGTAAAATCAGAATGATTTTGATGTTATATTTCTGTTTTGTTTGAAATTTTCTATTTTTCGAAAAATTTTAGGATTTGATAGAAATATCTCGCCGGAAAAATAAATAAAAGGGCATGATTATCGATAAAAACTAATAAAAAAATGAGATCTTAGATATTTTTTACAGAGAGAAAAAATGCGTAATTCACCGATAACAAGAAAGAAATGAGCTTGAATCATGGAGTGTTTGGATTATTTAAGTCAGAGTGTTTAGTAACTCTTTCTTTGGTAACCGGTCTTATCGGTTACCTGATTCTTTTTTTTTTTTCAAAAAGAAATTTGTTTTGGGTTCAATTTGATAATTTTTTTTTTTTGTTCTTTACCAAATTGTGTCCATTAAATGAATAGCCTTACTGAGAATATCGGCGCAAGTCACATTTACAAATTTTTTTAATAAAAATTTAAGCCCATTTCACCACATTTTTTAATACATGTTATCCAGCCCAATTCAAGAAGTGTTTATAATGCAATTATTTGTTCAGTAGATAATTTCGACCCAAATGTTTACATTTGCTGACAATTATAATAAATTCAACACACATTTTATTATTCCTTATTTGTTTGAGGGTACCGTTCAAGTTTCAGCGCAAACAATTTTCAATCATGGTCTCCTATACTATGACGATCAACAAGAGTCAAGACCAGTGTCTCTCACACATCCGTAGTCTTGAAGAACCTGTTTTCAGTCATGGACAATTGTAAGTTGCTCTTTCTAGAGTCACGAATGTGAAGGGTTTGAAGATAATGATATGTGATGATGGTAATTCCGACAATAAGGAAACCATGAATGTTGTATACAAATAAATGTTTAATAAAATTTAGAATCATTTTCTTAAATCACTAGTATTGACCCGTGCGATGCACGGGATGGTGTATTTTCTGAAATTGTTTTAATATTAACATTAAATTTAATTCACTTTGTAGATATGTAACAAATGTAAAAAGGAAAAAAAAAAAATTAAAACTTTATAAATGAGTAAACTCTTCTTTGTACACAACGTTTTGACTCTGATTTGGTGGCAAGTCATCGTCATTACAGGAGTAATATGTGGCCCAATCAAACACGTGCCTTGTCACCTGCTTTGGGATCCAACTACCTCGGATCTCGGTTTGTGTGGATAATCTTCAGGAAAGAATATTCGAGAAGTCGGTTTTTGTCTTTAGTGTGAGGTCGGTCCAACGACGTAAGTGAAGTCGGTTCGTTTTTATGTGTGAAGTCGGTTTACTTCCTTATTTGTACCGAGGTGGGTTAAGTTTGTTGTAGGAATAGGGTTGGAAGAAGTGTTGAGGATAATATTAATAAATCCTCCTTTTAATCTTGGGAAAATATATGGAAAATTAGGTCGGTTGTCAACAAATGTTATTACGATCGACTTCAAAAAATATGTTTATCCGTTTTTGTTAAAACAAAAACAAAAACAAAAAATGTGCAACGTGTTACATGTGTCTTGGATTTTGTCGATTATTGAAGATTATGTGTCATATCAATGTGACATAATGTTTACCAAAATTAATGGAGTTTGTTACAATTTAATTTAGTAAGACTTTTTGGATTGATTAAAAAATAATATTTTTATTTTGATATGTATCATTTATCAAATCTCGAGATTTATTTCTGCAATACTTAACTCCAAACAATCCGAAATTTTTTTGAAACTTGTTACCAAAAGAAATCCCAAAGATTATTGGCAATATATTGTGTATAAATAACTATGAAGTTTGTTTATTAAATACTAAAATAATTTTTTTTAATATTTGTATAAGAACCCAACAAATTTTATGCTATTATCAAATTTTAACTTATCACTAAACATATAACTACTGTATAATTTATAATTAAATTATTTTAACTTAATTTATAATTAACTTATGGTAATGTAATTATAATTAATGTATGTTTCAATTTAGGTACCATGAGAATAATAAAATGTTAGATTATTTTTTTTAAAAAGAATATCTGACTAAATACAAAATTTATAAATAAAATAATCAGATGTGTCTGAAAATATTGTAATGCGTAGACTTAGAAATTCAAAACCATCACAACACACAAGACTTGGAAATTCATTGCTCGTTTTGCGTGAAGTGGACTAAAGAAGTTCATAATTGCAACAACAACAACAACATACCCAGTATATTCCCAATAGGTTGGGGTCTGGGGGGTCAGTTGTACGCAGACCTTACCCTTGTAATTATACAAGGAGGCTGTTTCCGTAGCGACCCAAGGTGCATTGCGCCGTTTGATATTTTTTTTTTCTAGAAACTTCACTAATAGAAGAAGTACTAGAATTTAATTGAGCAATTTTGATCTAGTCCATTATTAGCACTATGCCAGGAGAATTGTCAACAATGACTCTTCCAACTCCATTTGCAAAACTACATACATANTTGAATAACACCACACACAACTATAGCTTCGTCCTATCGAACACTCAAGTATTTGAGCATAACACAGAAAATTCTGTACTGAGTGAAGAAAATCGAGCACTTGAAAACAGCCTCAACCAGACCAAAAACTTACATGGCATCAAGAATATCATTATCTTAACGATAAAAAAAAAATATCATTATCTTATCAATCTCTCACGAATTTTCAAGGGTTAATCAGTAATGGCAGCTTTCAGCTTCTCGTCATAAGATTTCAATGGACCAGTCCTTTCTGTGCTCCATTTTCTCACATTCTTTAAGGTTTGATGATTTTTTCGCCATCACTTTTCAGCTTTTGCAACTTTAAGCTTTTTGCTTCCGTTTCTATCATAATTGTCACCATTCTTATTATTCCCAGATTTTTTCCTCTTAGCAGAGCCATGGTGAGCTAGAAATGGAGAAGAACCTGAATTGGTAGAAAAGCCAGAAGAAAGACGAGCGTTGATCTCTTTTCTCATGTCCTTCATGTTTTCGGATTGTGAATTTTGGCGAAGAGTATCCGAGAGAAAAGTTCCACCTCGGGATTTATTCCCATCTTTTGGCTCAAAAGTGTCGTAGAATTCTTTGTAGGCAGATTGTTTTGAGGTTTGCCTCACTTTCCATTGTTCAGGCCGTTCATCGAATCTAATTACAATAAGAAAAGGGTATATGAGGCGCTGATATACATAAAGCAAAAGATGTGTACTACTTCATTACTGGAAAATTAAGTAATGGAGTATAATTACTATTGACATTTGTTACAATTTCACAAATTATTTTTCCTGAAATTACGCAAAACTTTCAGCCGTAAAGTTTGTAAAGAGACAAAACAACCCTACAATATTATAAGATGTGATTTTTGTAAAGAGATTGTCAATGAAGTTAATGCAAATATGTTTCAAAACATTAAAACCGGAAAAGAGCAACCACAAGGACTCATTATTTAAATACTGATTTCAAATTAGTACGATTTATTATTTCTACATAGTATTTTTTTTTTTTTAAATTAGTGGCCAGGTCCTACCACCGTCTAACTACGAACTTTTATGAACTTCACTGGTCACTCGCATGTGATATGGTGAATTTACATTTAATTAATGTCAATAATCAAAAGCAACTGAAAAAAACTACTATATTGTGAGCTTACCCTGCGACATCAAGTTTCTTCAAAAGATGCGGGCCTGTTTAGTCTTTGACAGCTCTGCTTGAAAAGGTACAAGTTCTGATACAATTGTCTCTCTCAGGGAGAAATTGCTTGTGTCGAAGCATTTGTCGACTATAAATGAACTAGCCAAAATTTTTTCACTACATTACTGCATTGAAACAACACCACCAAACAATTGGTCAAGCAAGGTGGAGTAGAGCATTCCCCTTGTTACGCCCCAATCCATTGAAGGAAACCATGTTTCCAGTCCCATCACCCTCCAAATCCACCTCCCCTTCTGCCAGATCATGAGGAAATAAAGTGTAAAGAGATGGTGAAGTCAGATTTTCAATGTAGCATAATCAATAGTATGGTAATCGCAACATTAAAATAAGTAGTCGTCGTCAATCTTTGTCATGGGCAAGTGAACTTCACCATCCGTCAGATACAACTCTGTCATTGTCGGCTGCCACAGATCTAAAATACCGCCTCCATTAGTAAGAGCCGCCTGCTGTTGCACTGTGTATTAGTGTCGCACCCACCCGAAGTTGTCGGTTGCCGCCACTCACAAGCACGGTCCCCTGATCTCAGTCGCCATCGTCGGTTTTCGGTCTACACTAAACATATATTGCCACCTCCAATCAATTATCAAACTATCAACAAAGAACCTAACCTACTAAAAAATATGAACGATATCCACTCAGGACAATTATCCACACAAATCTTCTTCATATTCTCTTTGTTCATTGAGCTTAGTAGTTTAATGTGAACTGCCTATCCGCACAAACAAAATAAAAAATATACTGAAAGATTTCATTGAAAATCTACAAAACCAATTAATCAAGGCACCAGATCAAAAGATCAAGCACCAAAACCAAAAATCTAAAAATAAAGATCTGTTACAGTCCGAGCTTATGCTAATCCAATATGCAACTTATGAAACTCATATTTTCAATAAAAGTTCATCAATAAAAAAAGAAAAGAGAAAAAAAGGATAAAATGAGAAACTGTAGCTAAATTGAACCTTAGTATTCCCCATTTTAAATCCAAATAAGGCTTTCGATTTTTCAGTAACAGGAAGGCCACGATTTCGTTAATTTTTTTATCTAGATTCTTCGTTTTGGGATTCAAATATTCATCAAATTTTATTTTTCTCTCACATCGGCAGTAAGAGCACGCTCAAAGAGGTTCTCCGTAATGGAGATCAACTATATTCATCAGCTAACCTCATCATATAAATTGATCTGATATATAAAGTCAATTTTTCTAGACTTGTCAAATATATCCATCAACTAACTCCAAAGATATGAATTAATCTGAGTAAAGGCTTCATATAACCGAAATCGAGAGCAAATGCTCAAAATAAATGTCTACATCATTTCAGTTGTTACTTTCTTCTCGCACTCACCCAAACATTTTCGGCATAGATACTCACCTCCATATTCTACGAAGTTATCATCAGCATCTCACCCTAATCCTCTGTCGGAAATCCCTCGCCACCAGGAGAGTGATTTAAATATAAATAAACATGGGAAAGGAAGAGAGAAGGAGAAAGTTATTGAACAGCTAAAGAATTTGGGAACAGATAATAAACTTGGGTGCGGATCATTGGGGGAATATGGATGGTGAATAGACCTTTAGTATAAGTGAATACGATTTTTATATACAAACTCTCTACATGTTTACCTCCACGAAAAATATGGAATGATTTTGTTAGGATATTATCTCCACAAAAAATATGGAATGATTTTGTTAGAATATTAAACAATTTAAGTTGAAATATATCCAAGAAAATCTCCAATTTTGTTACCTAAAAAATTGGGATTCCTATGATTTCATAGTTGAAAATCCGGTGGTTTCCTAAATAAATGGAAAGAAAATCCGGCCAAATTGAATGATTCCAGTATTCTTTTTTTTGCCTGATTCTGATTTGGAATGATTTAAAATAAAAAGAACACACAAAAAAAAAAAAAATTAGATTTTTTTAATTGCTTTCCACAAAGGAGAAGTCAGTAGTGTTGTTTGACCAGTTTTTTAAAGGTTTCCACAAATGATTTATTTACCTCTCTTTTTCAATATATATATATTTTTTTCCATGAATTAAATTATAGTTATTTATTTTTGTTTTTTCTCTTTTATACTGTTATCTTTACTACATATTTTTTCCCGTGCAAATGCACGAGTTGATCACTAGTTAGTACTTAAAAGTTTATATAAAACCCATTTATTTAATAGTACTTAAAGCATGTAAGTTAAATTTCGCAAATGCCGTTCTTTTTCATTTCACAAAATCAAGTATCTTTGAGCTACTAAAAACGATCCGAGCCGAGCTTCAAAGTACTGCAGTTCGAGCTCGACTGGTTAATTAAATGAGTCATTATTTACGTTTGAGTTCGGCTCGTTTATTATTATTAATGAGCCGAAATATAGAAAGTTATATAAAAATCATCATTTTAGTTTTAGCGAGCCTTACTGGGCTGAGTCGAGTTGAACTCATTAACTAAACGAACTGAGAATTTGAATTAGAGACGAGACGCTTTCCACTCATCACTGCTTCAATCAGTTTGTATACATACAGAAATAAATCGGACAGATGAAATTGTGGAAAGTACATGTAAGCACGCACCACCTAAAACTTCAATCACATGGTTTTTATGTTGTAAATATTAAGTTGTAGACATTAATATAGGCTTTATAGGTGTGGGCCAAAAGCCTATTATGTCATTAGTCATGTACATTGTATTCCCTTATATACAAGGCTTAAGTGAATAAATAAGATTAGGATTTTTGCGGTGAATTATTTTTCTCTTGTTCTTTGTGCGCGCTTTCTCTCTTTCTCTACATATTACAACACAAACCAGATTTCAATCGTCAGCACAAGAGCACTCTATTGAAGCTCAACAACAATTGGAAAAAATAAAGTCTTTAAAACTGTAACGAAAATTGAAGAAAGAAATTTGAGATTTGAATTTGGGGGATTGGGCCTTGGGGTTAGATGTAGTGAAGTTGAAATTTACAGGCCCATCAATAGAACTAAAATTGTTTTTATGGTAATGGGCTTTTTAGATGAGTTAGGCCCTAAACTGCATGAATAGGAAGCCACAAATTAGTGAGGCCGGGAAGAAACTCTCTTGTATATATAGTGGGTAAAGTTGTAGTCACAAACGAGTTGACCAATTATTTTCACTACTCTATAGACATATTATTGTAGCTACTAATATATATGGATGGCCTTATGAAGACAACTAACACATGGCATTCTGATGAGGGGATAAACTAAAATAACTGATTACGTACTATGATAGATGAATAAAGCAAATTTGAGAATTTTATTTGATGAACTCGAACTCTAGGATGCTCCTGCATGGAGCCACGTATGAGCTTTGAAATCAATTAACGATGTTGATCAATTGAACCAAATGCACATCTTCATATATCCGTTAAGCTTATTCTCGAATCTATTTGCTCTTGCTAGCGTCATTGGGCCTCTTGCAACTTGAATCGGATCTCTCATTCATTAAGAAATGCCAGTTAAATTCAAGTAAGTAATGGAACTTGCTATTGGGAAATGCGTTAAATTCATTATAGCATGCAGAATGTTCTACTAATTATAGTTCAAAAGGCAACGACTCTTTGGAAAATTGGAAACTAATAATATATAATGATGCTATGGAACACAACAACAATGGTTATACACAATAATATAAAAACGAAGATTTCATCATAATATATATCTAAATTTTGTATGGATCGGATATCATCTATGCAACATACGACAGAGCATGACGTACGACTGCAACAACTAAATTGTTAGTTGCTTAATTAGCTCTCGCAACTACACGTGTATGTACAATTAACAATGGCGCACACCAAGAAATTGAAAAAAAACTTGGGAACAACATATTGTTATGCTATATTGAAAAATGATAAAGAAAAGAAAGGAGGTGACGATATATATATATAGTAGTCAAAATAAGATTGAAGGGAACAAAATACAAATTAACATTGGGAACAAGTAGGAATTGATATATATATATATATATATGCATATATATTGGCAGGATTGCATGCACGCACATAAATAAATAAATAAAATATACATTAAATTGTTTTGTTTTGATTTGGGAAGAAACAAAATAGGTGAAAGTTGAAGGTAATGGGTCAAGAATCTATAATTATATAAAAAGAATAACTTTTTTTTTTTAAAAAAAGAAAAGTCAAATTCTTAGTCAAACTATGTTATCATTAATTACATTCTATTATTAGCAAATTATTTCTTTGCTTCCTCAAATCACGCGTGCAACATTAAATGCGTGTACAATATTACTAGCAAATTAACATTTAAGATTCCGACAGATTTTAACTATTGCCTAAAAGTTTTAGGTCGATAAGAACAATCCGATAAGTTTTTCTAATTCGCAAGTTTGGTTTAAAAATATCAATTTCAATACACATCTAAATTCAAAACAGATACACGCTTAAATCGAACAAATTTTAAAAAACAATCGCCTGAGTAATTTGTATAAAATAAAAATTGATGTATAAAAAAGTTCCAATATCATGATAGATTACAAAATGATAACACAAAATCAATATTTTTTTTTTTTAAACTTACAAAATACTGATACCTAATCCAAAGAGCAGTCTAGGTTTAATTAATATAATATTTTTATATAAATTAAAAATTCATGAATTTGTTACTTTCTATTCTTATTGAGATTTATTTCAAAATTCTATTATTTTTGTATGGTGGTTTAATTAATATAATATTTTTATATAAATTAAAATTTCATGAATTTGTTACTTTCTATTTCTATGTATACGAGATTATTTCAAAATCCTATTATTTTTGTATATACGTCTATATATATATAAGAAGAATAAATTTTTAAACATGTTGTCTTGGGCAAATTTTTTACACATATATATATATATATATATATGTTAACTTTAAGTGTTTTAGATATATTTTTCTTATAAAATTGTTTAGAAAAAATTAAGTAATTTTACATTTTTCAAGAATAATATATAATGTTTTAGATACCCTAATATATGTTATATAATAGTCTAGATATTCTTAATGTTATTTCGGTTGTAATATTATTAACATATATAATATCTTAGATACTTTTAAAAATATTAAGTGACTTTACGCATATTTCAAAAATAAAATAGAATATTTCAGGTACTTTTGCACATGTGATATAAGATTTTGTTTTAGGTGACTTCACACATATTTCACATCTTTCAATAATGATATATAGAATTTTCGATACTTTTTCTTACGTTATATAATATTTTAGAATATGTTTAATACACATTTTCTTAAATTCTTTTATACAAGATAATTTTCTGTGTATACGATAAATTATATCATATATTAACTATACACATTTAATTTATAATTATTAATTAATATTCTTTACTTTCATCTTTAATTTATAATTATTATTTAATATTATTTACCCGTGCATCGAGATACACACTAGTATTGTTACAAGCCAAGTCCCCAACTTGTTCTCTCTCCTATAAAATAAAATATTAAGAAAATATATGTAGTAATTGTGAATTAATATTTTGGTAAATAAGAAAGACATGTGATGATGGTATTAAATTTTAAAAAATAGAGGGCGTGGGCCCCGCCAGCGTGTACAGGTGGCGAGTAACCAGCTCCCGCTGCTTCATGCATTGCCCACACACTACACTACAAACAGCGGTTTAATTTTTCCGCCAAACTTCTTTTTCCGAATACATTACATTACATGACCGCTCTCTCTGTATGTATGACTGTATATATATGGGACAGAGAGAGAGAGAGATACACAGGTACCTAAAGAAGATGACGGATATATAGAGAGAGAAAGAGAAAGAGAAAGAGAAAGAGAAATGAAAACGTATTTTTAAAGATAAAATTCGAACGCCATAGATTTGAGGTAACACACACACTTACGCAGCGCTATTTACTCCATCACAGAGGTTTTTCAACACGTGGAGGACCTCTTTGTCCCTCTCACGGTCTCACCATTATTATTATTATTTATATTACATTGTTTTTTTTTAAAAAAAGATAATAATTTCTCCTCTTTTTCTGGTTGGCTCACTCTCCTCAGAGCATGTGGTTTTATGTTGTGGGTTGTGCATAAAGCCCGGCCCATACTCTCAGACACAAATTAAGTTAGAACTTAGAACCAATGCCGATTACTTAACTCTTTGTACATGTGTGTTAACTCAACTCTGGTTACCTTTCATTTCTTATTCCTTCCTTT